GGCCATACAAGACGCCAGTCTGCGACTCCTCGGTATCAAATACCCACCAGGTCTTGGGAAAGGTGCCTCTCCGCCTCAGCTATATAGTGCATTCCCTGCCTACCCTACGCCGTCGGCTCCCGTAGGCTTGATCGGCGATGGGAAGCAAAGCACACCTTATGATGAGGACTCCAGAGTCGCCCAGTGCATCGAGGACTATGCCACACGGAGTGATGTTGTGTACGGCTTTGCTGAGGTGAAATACAAACAGCTTGTGCCACTTACACCGTCGACTAACCATGGCCTTGGTGGCTTGCCGGCAGACCAGGCCTCTCCCGATGATGATGAGGGGCTCACTGTCGATGCTGTAGTGATACTCTCGGAAGAAGCCCTGGTGCTGTACGTCAAGGCTCTATCTCTCCTTGCCAAGTCCATGGACATCGCCAGCCTGTGGTGGTCGAGGAGGACTCGAGCGGAATCATCAACCGGGCAAGCATCCGCGCGAGAGCCGAGCAGTATCCAAGTCGTCATTACGAGGATCAATTCGGCTGTGCAGTGGGTGCGATCGCGGTTCAATGAAGTCCTGGAAAAGGCTGAGATCGTGCGGTTGAAACTCATCGATGCGCAAAGATCATTACCAGAGGACAACCCTGCCCACCCCAGTAATCATCCAGTGGATCCCGCATCAACGAGTGGTTCTACAGTCGACGGGGTGGTGATCACGCCTGGTATAAGCGCCGAAAAACTCATGTACGACCGTGCCGTCGAGATGAGCCGCAAGGCAGCGATTGACGAGATTTCAAATGAAGACCTTGCCGGTTGCGAGATATCCTACGTCACAGCGGTACGTATGCTAGAGGCCGTGATAGATAACGACGAAGATCTTCCTAAGAGGCGGGTCTCCGGACCTACCAAGGAGGAGCGTGCGTCGACGGAGGAGCCTGCCTCAGACATCAATATGGATGACCAGCAAGCCGTCCAGAAATGTAAGTCTCTCTGTCGAGCCCCACGGCTACGCACCCACTGACAAGGATACAGTGATCACCATGATCACAGGTCGGCTTGGTTCTGTGCGTAAGAAGATGCGGATGATTGCGAGTGCAACAAAGCTCCAGCAGCAGCAGCAGCAGCAAGATCTCGTCCGACGCCGTAGTGGTGATGTGACACCTAGAAGCGTGCCTTCCCACACCTCATAAGACATACAGCTACAGGACTCACGACTGACGAAAATGCATGGACGCATACTTTGAGATTCTTTCCCTGGTCTGTCATCGGCCGGCCGCATTGCCATTTGGTCTTGGAGTTCGATGGTTGAACCCGCGACTGGCCTCATCACTTGGCCCATTTTCTTTCGGAATTGCCTTCCCGGTTGGTGCCACGCAATATTCCGCGCTTCAAGTTTATGTTTGATTGTAATCATTTTGTCTTATTCCGGAAGGGGTCTTCCCTTTGTCAGTGTCAGCACAGTGTCCTTAAGGAGTCCTCGGCGTGGGTGGGTTAGGTTGGGCATCTGAACTTTTCAAGTAGTAGAGAGGCTTGTACCCGGTATTCTTTCCTGGTCACAAGACCATATTTTCGTTGCAAAGTTATTTTCGAGATTGGAATAGGGGCACAGGGTTGCGTTGCAAGGGTCTTTTTTGCGGGATGGGGATGGACAAGGGAATCAAGGGGATACGGAACCGTTGGATTCACCGTCGGACAGCAGACCAGAGATTGAGATCGATCGGGTGCCAGCCTGGTAACGCAACTGAAGGGTTTGGCCTTGGCCCGTCTTTGAGGCATAGTGCCCCCGAGGTGTGTGTTGAATTAGACTGTCTGCCCATTGGGTTACCAGATTTGGCTGGAGTGATGGGAAGGGACTCTCGACGCCGCTCCTGAATAGTATTATTCACCCAAGCGATTGGGCCAGGTATGCTCGAGAAGCTCGGCATATAAGCATCAAATACACCGTCACTGAGACATCCATCATGAGAACGGGTTCCACGTGGCTTGTGGAGACTTTCTGATTTGATTTCCGAGGGAGTCGCAGGTCGAGGCCCTGTAAATCATACACCCTTTGAGAATGCCTGACCCCCCATCGCCTTGTCGAAATCCGAGTACTTGGTCAGGCCACAAACTTCAAAACATTGCCTGACACCACCCACAAGCTCGCCCTTCTCGTTCCTCCTCTCCTTATTCATCCCCAGCTCCTTAAGCTCATTCGCAGCCTCCCGGTACGCCAGCAGCGCGGCAGTCATCGAGAAACAAGGCCATATCACAATTCTGTACCCCATCCCCCTCGCCTCCTCGCTGTCAACCAGGGGCGTCACACCGCCCACAACCATATTCAAGAAACAAGGCGTCGGCTTCATGACCTCGACGCACTCGGCCATCTGCTCCTTGCTGGTCATCCCTTCCAGGAAGACAACGTCCGCCCCGGCCTCGACAGCCGCCTTCAGCCGCGCAATCGCCGCCTCGAACCCAAGCGACTGCAGCGCATCCGTGCGCGCGATGATGACGATGTCATCGCCGAGGGCTTCCCGCGCCGCCGCCGCCGCCCGGATGCGCGCCAAGTACTCGGGCACACCCGCCAGCTCCTTACCCAGGAGGTGGCCGCACCGCTTGGCCGCGACCTGGTCCTCGATGTGCAGGGCTGCAACGCCCGCGGAGGCATACTTCTCGACCGTCCGCGCGACCATCAGCGGCCCGCCGAACCCCGTGTCCGCGTCTGCGATCAGGGGGACGTCGCGGTCCAGGCTGGCTATCATGCCTGCGTTGCGGGCCATGTCGTCTACGGTTGTTAGGCCTAGGTCTGGCATGCCTAGGACGGACATTGCTGTGCCTGCGCCGGTCTGATTGATTGTCAGTCAGTTGGTCTGCCTTATCTATCGGGCGGGACTTTTGAGACCCCGGATGGGATACGAAGGGGGGGGGCTCACCATGTAGAGGTTCCGGAAGCCCTCATCGAGGCATACTCGCGCCGACAGCCCATCTTGCACTCCTGGGCAGACGATGATGCTGTCTTTGTCTGCGAGCTGTGCTCGCAGCTTGGTGGCTGCGCTGTTAACCATTTTTTTTTAAGGCTCGGCGTAGTTCTTGAATGCCGATACGTTGTGGTTTGAGAGTAACGAGCTGGATTTGCTCAACACATGAACTCTTTGTGACTTGCTGCTTTTATTGCAAGAAAACGTCTGCAAAACTGTGGCAAACACAGACCTCTGTAAAGATATCCAATGAAGTCTTGTACGTAATTCTGAGGTCAGGATCAACCGCAGACCTATCGACGTCGATGGACAGAGATGAGGCTAGATTCATTCACGATCTTTAGCACGTTGGAGGGAGGAGAAGCTTTATTTATATTGCGTGCAGCAGACGCTCCCATTCTGACAGGAAGGCGTCACGGTCACGGCAAGTTCCTTCACAATGTAAGACAGGCGGCCATTGGGACCAGGACGGCCTCAAAGGGGACGACGCGCGAGTGCCGAGGTGGGCACGTTTTCCACCCCAAGATCGCCCCGTTGACACTATTGCAAGGATGGCCCCTTTCGAGAAACGTCCACTGTCAAGCCTCTCCCGAGCCGCGATCGGGTGTCTCGGGACTCCACGCGGCCGCCAGCCCCGCAAGACAAGACCCACTGCCGTCGCCGAGCCCGGGTGGTCTGCTCCTATGCCCGTCTTATTGCCGTACTCTCGTGGGCCTCTTAAGCCTGGTGTGCAGACCTGAAGATGATGGTGCGCGAGTGTCTGCCTTGGTTGAAGTTATCTCATTGGATGTGTGGGCTCGTGACTCTCCGTATCCGGACTTCTGTGGAATTCCCACTAGCTGTTGACGGCATTGTTCCTTTCGACCGCCATGCGGAAAGTTTGTCATGTGTTTCTAGGCACGGCCAGGACATGTTTGGCGACCATGAGGAACTTCTCTCCTGCCTGACAATCAGGTTCTGCGCTACACTTGGCAGTCTGACACTTGCTGGGTTTCTTTGGACATGCCAGGTAGATCTGTGCAAGGTACGAGAAAAATATGGGTTTGGATGGTGAACCGTGTATGTTGATAAATAAGACAAGGTAAGGTGTTCAGCGAGCTCAGGTGGACTTCATAATTTTGGTCCTCGAATACTGTGATAATATCGGCTGTTGCATTCCCATTAATCCAGTCCTTTACAAGGATATCAACTTCCCCCCAGGATCGGACCAACCTCAAGTGCTATCCCCCTGATCTTTTACCCAGAGTACCATTGGCTCACCATAATACCTACGTATGTACATATATATCTAACAAGCGACTCAATATTCAGCCTGAGGCTGCCAAACTCATAGTCCACCTGCCGATTCCCGCCGATGCCGTCCTGGGTAGATAGTTTCGACAATTCGTAAGGTGAGGAGCCCTTGGAGGTCCAGCGGAGAGCCTTTTGGCCACTGAAGATCTTTTCAGGAGCTGGGAGACATTCATCTTTCCGTGATTAATTTCAGACATTACACATGGTCAGTCACTGTATTCATACATTGGTTAATTCGGGTCACAAGCTCTGGCTCAGGTTATGAAAGACATATTAGTGTTGACGAGGAACCTGAGTAATTCTGCTCCAAAGACGATCTGGGATCATATTGTGTATGAAACCGAGATCTAGGTAGGGTGGCCTTCTTTCCCAGTAAATGGAGAGCGACAACCAATCTTTCTGGTCACTAGATTTCCGACAGCATATCCTCGAAAATATGGATGATCTTGCCTTCAAAGTGACCAGGGGAGCTTTCTAGAGCCGTGCTCGGCCTTTTCGCCGTTCCGGCCCAAACTGCTATGCATGCGCAAGAGAGACCCTGATTCTGAGTAATGAAAGCTTTCAACCGTCACATAAAATTGGGAATGTTATGGTGATAGTGTATGTCAGAAGCAATATCCAGGCCTGTGACCTGGACTGGCTGACGGGTAGGTTGGGGGCTGGAGAAGACTCCACATGTTCCACCTCCAACTACTGGGATTGCCTATAGAGCTCCTCCCTAGTAGGTTAAGCCACGGTGAGAGGGGGAGCAAAATAGTACAAAAGTGTTTTCGCCCGGGTTCGAACCGGAGACCTTACGCGACATTTGTATGCACCAACCATTTCTGATTGATCCATGTTTCTGTGAGGCGTACGTGATAACCAACTACACCACGAAAACTTGTTGAAGAGCGAATGAATCCTTTGCTCATAGTGCTGGAAATCTGTCCATACTCTCAAAATTGCCATGGCAGTCAATTGCTTCAGCTAAGTATAATGAGAGAGATGTATTGAATCTTGTTCTAATAGCTATATAATTCTACTGCTATATCTACCAGCTATGCTAAGACAAATGCTGTTTAATGAGGAACATTGATAAAGAAGTATAAGAATGTGTTGGATGAGGCCCACGGTACAGTTGAAGGCGAGGTCTGTATTAACAACCATCCAAAAGATGCTGCAAAAACAATCTATGCCCTGAAAAGGAGCTGAAGCCGCAAATATCTTTGCCAAATACATATGAGCAGTGTAACGGCACGGGTCTTATATACTGCTTAGAATGCCAAATGTTGATTTGGAATTCTGGTCTTTTGGCCAAGCGGTCTATTGTGCAAGCAGTCAATAGAAATCGTCTCAAGCAGCTCAACGCAGTTCTTTTTCCTGCTGCTGCTATTGCTCCTTCCGCTATCGGATAATGATGTCCTGAAGCTCGGCAGTTCCCTGGACGAGTTCAAGGCACTCCTCATCGTGACCCCAGCCATTGAATAATAACAGTAGAATTGGTCCTGCACGGCTGTCTTCTACCGATTTGTGAGGCGATATAAAAAACACGAAAGAAGGTTTGTATATTCAAATGGAAAGCACGGAGTACACGCCTGTAGGAGGTCACCTCCCATTGAATCGTGTAAATAGCACCGACATCCTGCAAGAGCAACCGTGACTGCTATAACTTCTGACTCCCTATAGTTAGGCAGGTGTCACTGACCGTGTGCGTCACGTCTGGGCACCCCGGTGTTGACCGTTGTCGTCCAGTGTCCCCTCCTTGCTCAACACGTTCATCACCTACCTCACCCTTTGCCATTAAGTACCATATCGCTGATTCCGAGCGGCTATTCTTCATCCTACTCCTCCGTCACAATTGTGGTTACCACCATGAACGCAGGCGCCGGTGCCCTACTCTTTGCGGCTGTCTTAGCCCAGCGGGCCAGGGATCCGAACACCTACGTCCTCAAGGAAAAAGACAACCAGAAGATCTTCGACCAAGTCATTGTCCAAGAGGAACTGGCACATCTCAAGGATTTCGGTCATCTGAAGGACGGAGTCCAGCCAATTGTCGTCTTTGTCGTGGGACAGACAGGATCCGGAAAGACTCGTCTCGCCGCTGATTTGTTGGGTGTGCTGCAAGGACGTCAACCAGCACACCTCATCGCGGACGTCTATAAGGCCTATCGTGAGTTACCTGGACACCTCCCTGTCACATCCGGCCACCCAATTGGATACCAGTGATGTCAAATCGCTCAACGGAAAAGTAGATCCCAAATACACCACCCTCATCAAGGAATATCCCAATATAGCATCCCCTGCCACGAGCATAGATGCCCGCAAATGGTTCGACCTAGCAAGCAAATGGGCCATCCAGCGGAAGGTCGACGTTCTCCTCGAGTCTGCATGCCGCTATCCTGAGGACGTCGCATCTCTGATCTCCGCGTTCCACGCCGCAGGCTACCGGGTACTTGTTGCCCTAATGGCCGTCCCAGAATGCCTGAGCCTCCTGGGCACCATGGTGCGATACTACGAGAGGCTTCCCGAGGCCAAGTCTGCTAAAGTCCCCCTGAGAGTAACGCCTCGGGAGGTTCATGATGAGACCTATGCAAGTGTTTTCCGCCCCTCAGGACACGATGTAAATAGCTGACGATTGCTCTTGCAGGATGGAATACTGGCCGCAGCTGATTTCATCGACAACTCTACCGCCGTCACAAACGTCGTGGTTGTGCGCCGAAACAACCTCGTCGCCTACCAGAACTTCCGCGGGCCCGACGGGCTCTGGATCCGCCCCGCGACGGCTCTCACGTCGCTTGACCTAGAACGGACCCGGCCGCTTCCTGCCTTGGAACATGGGAGCTTTCTCGCTGACTGCCAATATGTCGAGGAGCAGAAGAGCGAGAAGAAGAAGGCAAAGAAGCAGAAGGCCAAGGGCGGGGTGGCAGATGCGACTCTCGACGACGTAGAAACCTCGCTGGCTGGTCTGATGTCCATGGGTGGCCGTTTGAGCACCTCGTTGCCTGCCTGGAAGCTCCCTGCCATGAAGCCTCTTGACGTCGAGGAGTGGGTGTTTGGGAAGTGGGACGTCAATAAGGCCACATTCGAGGGTCCAGAAGAGAGCACAGAGGCCGTGCTGCCCCGGAACAGCATCCTGCAGGAGATTGCGAGAGTCGAGCACTGAATTTGTGGCAACTATGCGCCTAGTATGAATGCATCCTCAAATTAGGATTAGACCGATCATCCTATAGGTAGCCGAAATGCAGCCCGATAGAGACTGCTTCTTACATCTGACTGTGTCATTGGGATCTGCAAGTCAAGCCATAAGCCATCGGCCATGTTGAAATACCGGTAGGACAAGGGACTGGGTTGTGGAATGTGGAGTCAAGAGCCTCAAGCCATGCAGTGTTTGCCCGAGTCACAGCAGATTTCATCTGCAAGAACCCAGCTTCGAACGACTTCGCTTTCGGATCCGGTCTATGCGGACGGGTGCCTTGAAGTCTCGTATATGAATCTCGTATATGTAAGGCGACATCCCGCAAAACGATGTGCGTGTTCGGCTGATGAGTGCCTACTCCCTGGTATCCAGCAAGCCACCTTGTTCTCCCCGTCAAGTGACACAATGTTCGGTTGAGTCCCACAAAACCGTTGTTTGCTCGACGAGTTGGTGTTTCCATGAATGAAGTGTAACGGACACATGAGGATGAACTAGACTGCTCACGACCTGGTCTTCTCTCCGAGATAACGGGAAACTCTTCTCTCCATCCTGTTTCGTGACCTTTTTGAATTAGAACAGAATCCCGGAATGTAAAATGCAGGGTTTGAACTAATACGTCCTCCTCGTATACTATTTGAATCGACGGATTCTCCTGGGGTTTGTCCTAGGGATAAATGCTCGTCAAGTTGTGTTGTTCCTTGATCGTGCTTTGCAAAATTTCAGGTTCAATTCTTGTATTCCATGCTAGACTTGATGGAGCTGGAATTACTTGATACACCATGCATCAAATTGACTTACAACTTCATGCATGTCTATGATTGATTACCTTATCCACATTTAGCCTGAACTCTTCTACCACCTTGCTGGAAACCCACTTAATCCGAGACTCAGCCTCAATACAGATCTAACTTAGATTGACATTGCAGATCGGGTTCCTACTGAACATAGATTCGAGATTTATACAGGGAGGAAGTTGATGCTACAACCAGGCACAGAACAGGTTTATCTCCATGGACCATGACAACTCCCACACAGTGTCTCAAGCCCTCAAGCTGCTGGAAACAATAAATGCATATTCATCGGCGTTGTCTCGGGGGTTGCTATCCTGATGCAGACTAGGATGTGAGGCAGCTCTGATCGAGTAATCGAGAGACAGAGCAGTCCCTACGTGGCCAAGACGAGGAGATGATGACCGCAGCTGCCACCATTTCCAATAGAGATATTGCACTTCTGACCTCCACTGCGATCAGCGTCAGCCCCCCGCTGTGGGAATCGTCTGTGGCGGATACTCATGGTTCAAGGATATTGAATGCCAACCCACAATCCGGCATATCCAACCGGTCCCTGGAAAAAAATTGTTGGTCATCTATCTCATGACCTGGCAGCCAGCCAACAGACTGGCAGCGCTATGACGCCTGAATCAAGGTCACGCCCCCCATCTGGCCTGCGGTCGATGTGGCTGCTGCGGTGTGCGGGTTCCTGGTGTTGGTCCAGGTGTTGGTGTAGGATTTGAACCATTGGCGGTTCGGCGTAGCCACGGCCGGGGCGGGAGGTTTTAGTCACAATAATTAATCTCAGCGAGTGGCTGGAGAGGAGACACGGCTCGGAGGTCGGTGTGCTTCTCCTGTAGGAGTACCGTGCCTATCCGTGGGCCCGAGTTATTGTCGTGGGTGGCAGAACAAATGTGACCAGAATTGGATGTGTTCGAGTCAAAGTCGGAATGGAGCGATGTCTCTCTCGAGTGCTACCCAACCGACAAAAGAGGACGTCACGAGGGATGATCCACCCCGTCATGATTGGCTTGAAGTGATCGGCGGTCGATATGTCAGCGCCTTATTGGCAGCCTTGAGGGAAGATGGGAGAGGGGGGAGGTTGACAGGTTGGGGTAGGGCGCTGACATGGCGAGAGTCAAGGGGCGCACAACAGCATGGGACGGGTTTGGAGGAGGGCACGAGGGTAAGTTTCCAGAACCTGAAGTAGTGTATGCAACGGCCTGAGTAGGGGAGGTGTTCGACGGCAGGACGAGCAGTCTCAGACAGAGTCACGGTCAAGCATATTGCAGGCCGGGATGCAGCAAAGGCCCCACATGTCGGCCCACGTTAGCCGGAAGAGAGTATTACCCTTTGCTGCAGATGGATGTCTCCCGGCCGTGACTGGCCCGAGCCAGGCCGAAGAGTGTGAGTTCGACTGCATAAGCTTAAATGGAGTCTGGGTTCATCCTAAGTGCGTGTTTAAGTGTGTGTATCCCGAGTGATCGACGTGTTGATGTGCAAGCTGGGGTCACCCCGTCTCCCGGGTCAGCGGTCAAGGACCAAGATTCATTTATCTCTGCAGAACAATCTGGAAGCGAGAACATGTGTCTTGTGCTGTATGCGACGTTGGACCGGGACTGCTGCAAAGCATGCACCAGCAAAAAGCAGGCGGCGGGCGAACCGGGAATACCAGGGACACGGCATGCCATGCCATGTAGTACAGTACACCGCAGCAGCACCCAACACCAACCCACAGCAGTATGTGGCGTACTGTTAGCAGCACGGGACGGCAGGGGCCCCACTGCGGGTGCTCAGACTATTAGCCCTTTTCCAAGACAACGGCCCAAATACCGGCAAGGCAGAGCGCCGTTCGGAGATTTCGCAGCTCGCCAATCTTGGCGTAGGTCATCCGGATGCAACGCCGGAAACAACAGCAGACAACAACAACACACA